ACCTCCAGTCATTAGAACCTTTCCAGGAGCAGAGGCCACACTAGGTAACCATAAACAGTATTTCAATCAGACACATTCTTGTGCACAAGTTTATGTACAAACGGACACATTCAAATATCAAGTAAACACACACTTACACAGCCATTTCTTTATAATTCTCTCTTGGATGAATGAGAAACTGCTGTTTGACAGAGATTAGCTGCAATTCAGAATTACAAAGTTCTTAGTCATTGTCGGGAAAATGAAACACAGAAAAGACCGCGTTCTTAACACTCTTATTTTATTGTGAAGAACTAAATAAAAAAGAAAAACAAAAGAATGATATCAATCATTCATTTAACGGTTCAATAAAAAAATGTGGGGGTCGACTATATGAATCCTTTGATAAAATTTTGCTCTATGCAAGAGCAATTAATGCCAACACTAAAGAACTAGAGTATGATACAAAATAAAAGGAAATGGAGATCCTTGATTTCACTACAATGAAAGCAAATATGATGACTTACCCAGTTTGGTTAACTGGTAAAGAAATCAATGCTTAAACCATTTAACGCCTACTTCCGCTAAAATTGTGAATGAAAGAACACAAAAAGCTGAACTTTCCTGCCTACATAATCATCTGTCCACTAGTATGTACATTGAAGGCAGTAGGTTCCAGCCCACGCGTTCGGCTCGAACCCTATATATACTCGAAAAAGTTCTTAAGAATATATTTATACTCGCTCAGTTTCAATTTATATGACAGTAGTTTGATTAGGCAAGGAGTTTTAAGAAAGAAAGACTTTTGGAACTTATGGTCTAAAACATACCATGAGATATCTGTGGCTATAAAGTATATAATTAAATGTAAAACGGAAAGTTTAAAGTTAAATTCTTTTTCAAAAATAGAAAGGTGTCAATCCTTTGGAAACACACCAAGGAAATAGTGTCACATAAAATAGGATAGAGGTAGTACTAAATTCAAACCCATTGTGGGAACAATATTTATGCTAAATTCGAACCCATTTTGGCAAAGGAGTAGAGAGAGGACCTCCACACCTACTAACTTTAGAATCTCGATCCGCCTCCGCCCATGTCCACAGTTACCAAAAAAATGGAAAGATATATAGAAAACTGAAAATGGAGGAGAAAGGATCAAATCTTTCATTATTTACAATGTCAAATGAAATCAGTAACTCTCAATTCTGTATTTCTACAGTCCCATATGAAGAAACTGGATTAACTTCAAATTGACAAGTAATCAGTGATATTAATTATCTCATTAAAAAAAACTCACTGAAGAAAATATCAGAAAACTACAAGGTCATCTAGCACACATGTTTTAAATCACCAAAGAATGGAAGAATAATATAGACAACTGAAATTAGAAGAGAAAAGATCAAATCTTTCACAATTTACAAAATACAATATTAAAAAAATGAATTTTGAAAAAGACCCACATCATTAAATTGGATTAACATCAGATTGACAAGAGATCAATACTGAAAAACAGAGAGAAGAGGAAGAAGAAGAAGAACATACAATTGCAGGAGTGTGTGTAGAAGAAGCTACAGAATTAGAGGAGTAAAAGGACTATGGCGGCAACATCTATGTCAAGCAGCAGTCCAGGTTTGACATTCTTATTTGTGTTCAAAGTTGCTTCACTGCTTTTTTTTGCTCGTCAATACGAGGAAATGTTAGAAAAGCGAATCCTCCTATGATATGATTAGAATTGTTTATATTTTCTAAAAAAAAAAAAAATTTAATAATACATATAGGAGGATGGCAAAAGAAAGAAATATGACCTTATTTCTTTTTCTTTTTTAATTTCAAAAATGAATTTAACCCTTGAAAAAATAGTTAGCATGTCGTTAATGGATTTGTATTGAAAGTTAGCCAATTAAATCCCCTAAAAGAAGTTTTTCTTTTTATTTTTAAAAAAAAAAAAAAAAGACTCCTTAGGTCAAAAAAAAATCATGAGTTAATAGGATTGAATTTTGCATTCCTAAGTTCATTTGTAGTACTACTATATTCTTCTTCTTTATTCCAGTAAAATAACATTGATTTACTCATACTATTGACTAACAAAGCAAATGAGTATTAAGGGTCCGTTTGGCTAGAAAAAAATATTCTTTTTTTACATTTTCTTCATTTTTCTTCGAAGTCAGTGTTTGGTCATGAAATTTTTGATTTTCATTTGAAAATGAATTTAGAAATTTTTCGAAAATTTGAAAAATTCCAGAAAAGCTATTTTTCAAAATTTTCACTTCAGATTACTCACATAAATTTAAAAACGGCCCAAAGTTATATTCATGTCCAAAACTCTAACTTTCAAATATCATTTTCACTCGAAATTTTTTATCACTATATGCCGAAATTTTACAATTCTTAAGTCCAAACGCCCACTTAGTCTTCAAATGTTAGAGGATCACATTTCAATAAGAAGTGACAAATAAGTTGTTTATGTGACATCTAACAGCCTCCTATTATTGAAGTTTTGACAAGTGAATATTATTTTATAGATGAACTGCCAGGTCAGTGTTCAAATTTGGGAGGCAGCTTAATGTTTAGTAGCAGTGCTATCATAGCACTTTGCTGAAAACTTTCATTTTCTCCAAAACAGTCTCATACACACACATGGGTTGTACATAAGTCGGGTTGGTTCGAATTTTTCAATTACCAAACCGAACCAGTTGTATCGGGTTATTAAATCTAAAGACCAAACCAAACAAATAAAAGTCGGGTTTTTTAATCTCGGGTTTTTTCGGGTTTTTTTTTCATAAATCTTCATAGCACAAAACATAGATTTTGTGCTCCATATATTTCATTCATAGTACTATTGAATTGAATGTCTTTTATTAGTATTAGTATTGATTTGATTTTGGTTTAGGATTTATTTGAGTTACTACCATTTATGGACTACAAAACTTATTGGAACATCCAAAAATTATAAGTCCAAGTTTGAAATAATACGTTAAAAGATAAAACTATAAAAAAAATTTAGAAATATTTATAAACTACACTACAATAAATATTTTTATGTATTAAACATGTTTAAAACTTCTATACATATAATGGGTTGGTTTGGTTTCGATTTGACTTTTTTTAGTTAAAACCAAACCAAACCAATTATGGTCGGGTTTTTTCTTCCAACACCAATGACTTTCTTGCCTTACGAAAAGAAGTTCATTTCATTTTCCCGGGAATTTTGGAAAAAAGCCCCTTCCTCCTTGAAGGCGTAGGATCTGCTGAGCAATAGGTTCCATGGGAGGCAGCTCAAAGTCCAAACCTGGAGTAGTTTCTTTATAAACCCGTACAAGCATTTCTACTTTGGATATGTACCTTTCGAGCCGTTTTTTTCTTGACTCGAAATGGGAGCAGGTTTGAAAAAGGATCTTAGAGTGTCTAGGGTTGGGGAGGTGAGATCTACTCATTGATTTTATATTAGATGAGCGGCCGTACTATGATCGCCTAGATGACGAGGAATGAATCTCAGCAGGGGCCCATCAGCCCCATCTTTGAAAAGAGAAGAAAGATATGCAGCTTGCTTGCGGCTTTCATAAGAGAAGAAGAATCGTAGCGTAGGGTCGACATAAACAATCGGTTAAAATAGTCTAATGAGAAAGCATCTGTTCACGTTCGTAGTTGCAATAAGTTTTCTTTTTTTAATCGAGATTGGCTTGGTCTTCAGTCTACCCTAATGAAACCTAAAATCTCACTCCCTCGCTTTCTCCTTCTGATAGACTAGCTTGCGCATCTTCTCTTGGCACGTCTCATTGTTTATCTCGTAATCATTCGATTCCGCCCCTAAAGCTAGCTCCTACTCCTCCTCCTTCTCCTTTAGGATAGGATCCTCCTTGGTCCTTTTTACATAACACTCTCGGCCGCCAATCAAACCAAACCATAGTCGGATTTTTTTTCTCGTTTTGACTCGGATTAGCGAGTTGGTGCGTTTTGTCGGTTTTATTTGTACACCCCTGCACACACAAAAAAAAAAAAAGTTTGGTGGGGGCTTTAGAGTTCATCTTTATGGAAATAAGGTACTGACTTTATGATCAGCATATTTTATTAGAATTGAATGGAAAAAAGATGCAAGAATCGAAACCATTAACAGTCCGATGAAAAGAATCGAAACCATTAATAGTACATTTTATTCAAGAGTTAGACTCTATTTTTTGTGCATTACTTTATCTTTATAGAGTTGGACAGTTGGTCATTCCAGGTGAGCTTAAGAGGTCAAGGGCTGACCATAAACAAAATGCAGGAGATATAATACATAAGCTATGTATTGAATAATAGAGTAGTGAGAACCGCTTGGTTAGACGCATGAGAAAATATAATCTCAAGCATAAAATTTCACATAACTAAGTACAACGTTTAGTTTGCAAGGTACAACTCTGGATTACATACTAATTTAATTTTCACGCAATTAGTAAGACATTTAATTTATAGTATATGTACTGTATTCAATGTATGGTTTGCAGTATCTACTTTTGATTGCTATTATCCGCATAAGTTATGTAAAAATGTATCTATTATTTTCTACGGAATATGGAGAATAGTATCCAAATGCCATTAAAGTAGGTTATTCGGCATAAAGAACCTTGTATTATTACTCATTGTGTAAGACTGCATAGCGAACAATAATGTAAGAATTGTTATATGACAACTAATAATACATGGATTGTTATGTAGAGATTGCTATTGTAAGAGTATTTTATCTTTACATACTCTGTACTCATATACGTACAATTAATACACGTATAATTATTTTTATTTCACATTTTATAGTGCATAAATTATACAAGGATTCTCACTTAAGTTACACTGATATTATATATTTAAAGCCAAACATTGTATTAGACGGATACGTAGAGTTCTACGGTGAAAATAGATATATGTATTAGCTATACAGATCAATTACAGTAGTAATGCAGCATTTTATTTTACAACCCAAATTTGCGTGAGTTAGCAAGATTTCATGTCAAGTGTTTACTCTCAACGAATCATATATATCTAACTACATCATGCAAAGGTCATAGATTTGTAATTATTCTGGGGAATACTATAAAAGCAAATGAAAGGGAAGAACCCCTGGGCAAAAGAGATACAGGGAAACAACCTAATACATCCCAAACGGCAGTAATGTATACCAAGTTGCATAACTCATAGCAACAGCCATGACTTTCATTACACCAATGACTTGGAACCTTATTTGTTGAACCTGAGATATGAAATATAACGGGGTATCAGCCACCTTACCTAAATTTGGTATTTGGCTGACATGCCGACATATTACATGGAAGATGACATCCTCCTAATAACAGAACACCCATCTTCAAGCGCATGAAACTGTTGCATAGCTGAGCCAACAGGATGTTCTACCCTGATAAGAAGGGCGAGCACAATAAAACTGTTGCATAGCTGAGCCAACAGGATGTTCTACCCTGATAAGAAGGGCGAGCACAATAACTAGAGCCTAGAGGTACTTCACCATGCCACGACCCTCCACGCTGAGTTTCGTAGCTTGGAGTTTCTTCTTTTTTGGAGCTTTTAACTGCTGCAGCTTCTTATTCATCTGCCATGAACATACCCAATAGTTCAGTGTTAGAGAGAAGCAATTCCTAATAGCAGCAAAAGCAATAACATCATAACGAAGTCAACTTCCAGAGATCAAAATAGTTATACTCAAAAAGGAGAAAATATAGGGTTATCTCACGCCATAAACCCCATTTCAAATGAGATTAAGAGTACGTAAGATGGTAAATGTCAGGTTATTGCCCAAAAAAAAATGAAATCAAGACTGGCAGAGACTCTATTAACGACTCCAGTATTACATCATTTCCCCAAATTAACGACTTTCACAAGAATATTTTAATTAAGTGGATAGCTGCTTTACCACAATGACCACTAAAAAACAAATTGAGCACTTCATTTGTCAAGTAGAAAGCTATTACTGGCTCCTCTGAGAAGGAGATCGGCAGATTCTCATAAAAAGCATCCCCCTTTTGTTGCTTTTTTTCCGATGAAGTAAGAAGTTTCATTTAAAAGGCATCAAAAACCCTTGTTCTTAATTATCTCCAGTGCCAAGATGGACAAAAGTGAAATGAAGAACATAATATAGATATAAATTTACTTGGAAAGAGGGACACACCTTCATTCGGCGCTGGTCTTGAACCATTGCTTTGGCCCTTGCCCTAACTTCTTCAGGATCAATCTTAGATTGTGGACGCACCAGAAAATCCATTGACATTGCTTCAGGCCTTGATGTAAGTTGCCTGGAAGATGACGGACCAGACTTTTGGCCCCTGCAGATTTGCAAGCATATTAAACCTCGAGAAGAATAAGGATGCAGCGGACGGAACTCAATTCAAAGATGCTAGGATCAAAAGGTGCAAAGTCAGAACTTCTTACTGTGAAAATCCAGCCAAGTCAAGGTCATCATCTCTGGATTCCATTCCTGAAGCTTTATTCATGGGTCTGTGACAAGATAGAAAATATAGTCATAGATGGTAAAGATTCGGACTTCTAAGACAACTGATATAAAGACCAATAGAAGAACTGAAAATATTAGATACTTTTTCATGGAAGGCCGCCTAAATTGAGCAGCTCTCTCATCTTCAAAGTTTCTCATATCTTCAAACCTTGTACTCTTGTTGAATATTGGTCGACTCTGGATCAAACACAACCAAATTTCAGCGTTTTTACACATTCGCAAGCACCTATTCAGTATACCAGGTACTTAAATCAACTCCACAAACCAGACAAAGGAGAACCGCAGACAAACCATAATCATAATCAACATATACTAGAGAGCGTAGGAACAAAATTATAATTGACGGCCATGATGCTATTAAGGTGATGGTCAAAAGAAGCTACAAGAGTTCCTCAAAAGTATAAGAAAATCAATAACATATGTGCAAGAAGATAATAATTCATTGTGTTCTTAGGTGGAAAATTTCCAGTAAGTAGATACCCTCTTGTAAAAATCAATATATAAGGATTATTCTATTAAAAAGACATGACCTATCCAAAAAGAAATAAAATCCTATAAACCATTTTGTTTCGAACTACCAAATGCATGATGCAGTTCTCCAACCTCTTATAGAAAAGGAGAATGATATAGCTGAATTACAAAAGCTGGAAAGATGTTGCACGTCTGGAACATATTCTCCAGATACAGTGACGAACTAGAAAATGAACTCAGCATTTTAGCAGCCAAAAGATTATTCACACTCCAGCACGAGTGGAGTGTGATAAGTACCAATACAGAATCCCCCCTTTTATATTTCCGTTCATGAAAGGGGAAGAATAGTTAAATCCAACTTACCCATTTGTCAACCAAATCCTTAGCAAGTTTCCTGTTAGCTGTAGTCTCCTCATCTGACTTTGAGAGGAACATAATAACCTACAAAACAAGCAAGTAGAAATAAGTCTCCCCAATATGCCTCCGCGAAAGCTATTGCATTACCACTTTTACGTGAAAGGTACCTTTCCAAGACCACTCTTTTTCAACTGCTCTCTTCTATCATACTGCTCAAGATCAATTGGATACTACAGGATCACCACAAAGCATATCAGTCATATAACATCACGGCAAACGAACAAAAAACTAACTTGAATCTAGAAACCACGTTCATACATCAGTAAGGATCTTTAGGATTGCAGCACGAATGTTTATATTGGGCAGGCTTCCATCTGGAAGGGGCTCAAGCCAAGTCCTCAAAAGAGTCAATACTCCATGATCTAAAAATTCTTGCTGAAGTTGCTTCCTGCAAATTGAAAATTTGAAAGTGTGAGTCTAGAAATATTAGCCTCCAAAAAGACAAATTCAGTTACTACCACAAAAAATAAAATGACAAACTCACTCACTTTGATAGGACGTCTATGAGAAGAGGAAGCTTTTTTAGTTTATTTATAGCAGGTTTAGACTGTCTATTCAGTTCCGCATCCTCTTCAGCAACAACTTCAAGCTCAGCCATAACATTCTCTACTAGCAATGCAATTTCTGCTGCACTCTTTTCAGTTTTCTTTTTCTTCTTGCCTCCCTTGAAGAGCTTCTTGATTTCATCATCCTCTTCCCCTTCTTCAGCCTGAAAAGCATCAAATTAGAGCAAATATGACATCACCATCACCAATTGGCTTCACAGGCGCTGACGCGCTCAGACAAAAGCAAGAAAGCTGAAAACCAGCACGCTTTCTATTGAAATTTACAACGCCTCATGCATAAGGAAACTGCAATTTTAGGACGTGAGGATGAAAAATATAGCAGGAGCGAACTATAAGGACAAAACTCTACCTGTGGAGCACTGCTGGGAGACCGTGGTTCATTGTCACTTCCATACCTGTCAGCTGGATCCACACCACTATCATCAATGAAGTTATCATCATCCAATGTCTTCGGACCTTCTTGGTCATCCTACACATTTGAAAACAAAGACATCAGAAACATGTCATTAAAACTAAACACATTCAACCCTAGTAACTCATACAGACTAAACTAGCAATATCAGTAACTTTTTCCGGGCAAGGAACTTCAATAACTCAATTTTTTAGTTAGGAATCCCAAAAACGAAAAGATAAAGAGTTCCTTGTGATACATGAAGAGTTACAAAGCTATTGGAAAGATGATAACAACAAAAATGATAGGTCAATAACCTCAGAGTCACCACCAGCAATGGTATCCCACATCTCCTTCATCTCCTGATCACCCTCCTGGTCCTTCAACCTGCTTCCTCCAGCATAACCCCCATTTTTTCTCAACTTAAACTTCTTCTCGCCTTTGTCTCTCCTCTTCTTCTCCTTCCTTTTCTCTTCACTAAACTCCATACCAAATCTCTTCCTCTTCCCACCACCGTCGTCCGACTCATCACGCACAATGCCGGCCATGTCATCATCAGCAGCACCGCCATAAGCATCCTCATCCCCTATCCCAATATCCGGTGTGCTCTCTCTAGCCGAAGTTTTCTTAATCAACCGCTTCCTGGGCTTAGATTTGTTAGGATCATCATACACTGGGGTAGGTGACCGTTCTCGCTGTCTCTGATTCCATGCATCGTCATCGTCCAGATTGTCGCCAAGGAAGTGTTCCTGTTGCTCATGATCAGATCGGACATCCTCATCAAAGTCTACCAACGCCTCTCCTTCCTCATCTATGTACCTGAATTATTAAAAAATCCCGATTAATTCGCCATCTGTAACCCAATTCAACTCATCATCCAAAAGGGTCATCCAAAACGAGACATGCCCACAAAAAATCATAAATATCCAAAAAGTTTCCAGATAAAATCATCATTAGATACCATAATTTCACTCTTCTTCAAAGCAAAAGATCTACAAGAATAGCAATGAATTCATTATTGGAAACCCTAATTCAACTCATCACACCAAAAAGGGTCATCCAAAATCGATATAATACAGAACCACAGGAAAACAGCACAAATTTACCAATCAATTCAATGATCAGAAACCTAATTCACCTCATCGTCAAATTGGGTCATCCAAAAATACGAAGGACCCACAAATAAACAGACAAATCTGGATCAATTCATCATCAGATAAAAACTAATTAAACTTATCACCAAAATGGGTCATCCCAAAACGACTCAGACCGACCAAAAATCATAAAAATCCCCATCAATTTCATCATCAGAAACTCCAATTCATCTCATAGCCAAAAAAAAAATCACCAAAAGAAAACCACAACGATTGAAATCAAAGCGAAACAATTGAAACCTAATACTTTGTTATCACGATTCAGAAAAGAAAAGAAGAAGAGACTCACGGATCGTTGTTGTAACTCATCTTGAACGCTACTTCCCTGTAGACAACGGTGCAGAGAGAAAAGATAACTTGATAGTATGTCTCTGAAAGTAATCTATTAATATATATAGTAGATGATTTGTGAAGTGGGGGTAGCTCGGTGAAGTAGATTTTTGCTGAGCGAGATGAAAAATGTTTTAGGCTATGAAACGAAACGAGTATTGATATAGCGGGGAGGGAGAGAGGGAGGGTTTGGACTTTCTATCTTTAAATTTATTTATTTTTTGGTTAACTTCTATCTCAGCATTCGTCAAAATCTCTTACTGCGCTCATAGAGGAAAAGACTTTGGTAGTCCCTAAAATATGCTATAGGAGTAATTTTGTCCCTTAACTATATCACTAAGTATAAAATATCCCTTATTTTTATAAAAGTGGACAGCTATGGTCTAACACTTAACAGAGTTTATAAAACTAACGTAAAAAGCTTCAAATAGTATTAAAAATAACGCCGTTAAATATTCTGTTAGTATCCCATTGCTTCATGACCTTGTAAGTTCAAAACTGAACCTTTGAAATCCTCTGCTTCTAGTGCAAGATTATTCGCCAACTTTGTAACCAGAGAAGATAAAAGTTACAGAATCAAATACCCTTTCAAGGTTTAGGAACACACATTTGAATGTGTTTGTTATAAACATAAAAAAAGTTCTTTAGTTTCTTAATGAATGCACGAAGCTTCACACACACAGAGTTAGTGCAGAGTTTTCACTTAAATTTTCGAAGATAAACTTTACCCATAACACCACGAACTCAAATAAATAATTTATTCCTAATTCCATGTCCAGTTTCGTGGTAAAAATTCAAAAATATCAATTTCTAGGTTTCTTTCAAAATCTCACAATTTCTACTAATTTTCATGTTTAAATCCACATATAATTCATGTATTTCACTAACATAATGTGGGAATTACTTACCTTGCAATGGTTGATGAAAATATCCCCTTGAAGCTCTCCAAAAATCACCCAAACCAAGAGAGAATGAAAGAGAATGGGCCAAATCCCGTATAAAATCAAGTCTGCTCAGGCCCGTCCTTCTTCGCGATCGCGGGAACATCTTCGCGACCGAGAAGGCTAATAATCACTTCCTCCAAAATTTCTCTATGCGCTCGCGACCAAAGGGCCGGGTTCGCAAAGGCTTAACGCCTGGCAGGCCCCAGCTCCCCTTTCTCCTTGCGTTCGCGACCGCCAACTCGCGTTCGCGTAGGCTTCCCCAGCATCTGCTCCGCTTTCGTGTCTCCTTCATCGCGTTCGCGATGGGCAAAATCCCAGTAGCCCCCAAAATCCTTCTTCGCAAATACATAAGACCCTTCCCGTTCGCGAAGAAGGAAACCAGACACCAGCAACAACAATAACAAAACAAGGAGAATTTATCCGAAACCACCCCGAAACTCACCCGAGGCTCCCGGAACCCTGTTTGATCACGCCAACAAGTCCCAATACCTTATCCAAACTTATCCAAAGGCTTTAAATACCACGAATAACACCAAAATCATGAATCGATGATCAAAATCCTTCTTTCAACTTTCAAACTTCCAAACTTCGACGAACGCGTCCGAATTATATCAAAACATTCTGAAATGATGCTAAATTTCGCGTACAAGTCAGAAATCACGATACGAACTTATTCCAAGGCTCGAAATCTCAAGTGAACATCGATAACACCAAAGTCTACTTCAAAACAAACATAACAAATTCTTAAACTTTCAAAATGCCAACTTTCCACAATAAGCGCTGAAATGCTTTCAGACCACCTGATACTTTACCCGAACATACGCCTAAGTTCGAAATTATCATACGAACCTATTGGAACCTTCAAATCTCGACTCTGAGGTCTTTACTCAAAAGTCAAACCTTAGTCAATTCTTCCAACTTAAAGCTTCTAAAATTAAAATTTTCCTTCTGAATCAACTCCGAACTTCCCAAAATTCAATTCCGACCACAGGTACAAGTCATAAAACATGATGTGAAGCTACTTGAGGCCTCAAATTTCCGAACGATGTGCTAGATCTCAAAACGACCGGTCAGGTCGTTATAAAGTAGCGAGGTTTTAGTTGTTTAAATTATGATTTACGTAACAGTGCGGGGATCTGGGCCACATGAAGAGATTTTATCCTAGGCTTCAGGGCAAGGCAGTACAGCAGGGTCATCAGCCTATGATTACAGCACCAGCTGCCTCACCAACCGTCCGGCCGCTAAAGGCGGAGAGCAGGTGGGTAGGGGCCGTCCTAGAGGTGGAGGCTAGTCAGGTGGAGGCCAGTTAGTTGGCGCTCCAGCTAGGTTCTATGCTTTTCCAGCCAGACCAGATGCAGTAGCCTCAGATTTTGTGACCATAGGTATTATTTTTGTCTGCGGTAGGGATGCTTTGGTACTATTTGATCCAGGGTATACATATTCATATGTTTCATCCATGTTTGCTCATTTTCTGGGTGTTTCTCGCGAGTCCTTGGGTACTCATGTATATGTGTCCATGCTAGTGGGCAATTTTGTTGTTGTGAATAGGATCGTCCTGTATCGTGACTTTCTGTGGTTATAAGACTAGAGCGGACCTTCTATTGCTTGATATGACCGATTTTGAGGTCATCCTGGGCATGGATTGGTTATCTACATATCACGCCTTCCTTGATTGCCATGCCAAGACTGTTACCTTGGCGATGCCAAAGTTGCCTATATTAGACTGGAAGGGTTCGTCTTTCAGCATATCTAGTTGGGTTATCTCTTTTCTGAAGGCTCGACATATGGTCGAGAAGGGTTATTTGTCTTATCTAGCTTATGTTCGGGATACTACTATAGAGACTTCGGCAATTGATTCAGTGCCCATGGTCCAAGAGTTCTCTAATGTGTTTCATTCTAATCTACCAGGCATGCCACCCGATCGTTATATCGATTTCTGTATTGATTTGGCTCCAGGTACCCAGCCTATCTCTATTCCACCATACCGCATGGCTCCGAAAGAGTTGAAGGAGTTGAAAGAATAGCTTGAGGAGTTGCTAGCAAAGGGGTTCATCAGACCGAGTGTGTCGCCTTGGGGTGTACCAGTGTTATTCGTGAAAAAGAAAGATGGGACTATGCGGATGTGCATTGATTATCGCCAGTTGAACAAGGTTACCATTAAGAACAAGCACCCGTTGCCGCGTATTGATGATTTGTTTGACCAATTATGGGGTGCCAGGGTGTTTAAGATCGACTTGAGATCGGGGTATCATCAGTTGAAGATTCGTGATTCGGATGTTCCGAATAAGGCTTTCCGGACTAGATATGGCCACTATGAGTTTTTAGTGATGTCCTTCGATTTGACTAATGCCCCGATGGCGTTTATAGATTTGATGAACTAGGTTCTCTGGCCATATATTGACTTGTTTGTCATTGTCTTCATTGATGACATACTGATCTACTCGCGTAGCATGGAGGAGCACGAGCAGCATTTGAGAGTGGTGCTTTAGACCTTGCCGGAACAGAAACTATATGCTAAGCTCTCCAAGTGTGAGTTCTGGTTAGATTCTGTGGCATTCTTGGGGTATGTTATATCAGGCGAGGGTATTAAGGTAGATCCCAGGAAGATCGAAGCAGTTCAGAGTTGGCCTCGTCCTACCACAGCGACTGAGATCAGGAGCTTCTTGAGGTTAACAGGTTATTATCGCCGGCTTGTGGAGGGCTTCTCATTTATTGTAGCACCTTTTGCTAGATTGACCCAGAAGGGTGCTCCGTTCTGGTGGTTCGATGATTGGGAGGCGAGCTTTCAGAAGCTCAAGACAGCTTTGACTATGATAATAATTCTAGTGTTGCCTTCCGGTTTAGGGATGTATATTATGTATTGCGATGCTTCACGCGTTGGCCTGGGTTGTGTATTGATGCAGGAGGGTGAGTTATTGCATATGCTTCACGTCAGCTGAAGCCCTACGAGAAGAATTACCCCGTACACAATTTTGAGTTGGCCGCAATTGTTCATGCTCTCAAGATCTAGAGGCAATATCTTTATGGGGTGTCCTGTGAGGTTTACATGGATCATTGCAGCTTGTAGCATTTGTTCAAGCAGAGGGATATCAATTTGAGACAGTTTAGGTGGCTTGCGTTACTAAAGGATTATGATATTACCATCCTTTATTATCCGGGCAAGGCGAATCTGGTTGCGAATGCCTTGAGCAGAAAGGCGGAGAGTATGGGTAGTATGGAATTCATTTCAGCAGAGGAGAGGCCATTAGCTTTGGACATTTAATCCTTGGCTAACAGACTTGTGAGGTTGGATATCTCAGAGCCTATCCGAGTTCTTGCATGCATCGTTGCTTAGTCTTCATTATTCGAGCAGATTAAGGCTCGTCAGTACGACGATCCCCACTTGTTGGTTCTCATAGAGATGGTACTACAGGGTGGTGCCAAGGAGGTTGTTATCAGCGAGGATGGTGTTCTGCGACTCCAGGGTCGTCTATGTGTTCCTAATGTTGATGGATTGAGGGAAAAGATTCTAGAGGAGGCACACAATTCTCGGTGTTCTATTCATCAAGGTGCTACGAAGATGTATCGCGACCTGATGCAGCATTATTGGTGGCGGCGGATGAAGAAGGACATAGTTGAGTATGTGGCGAGATGTCTAAATTTCCAGCAGGTCAAGTATGAGCACCAGAGGCCAGGTGGCCTACTTCAGCAGATGATTATACCTGAATGGAAATGGGAGCGCATCACTATGGATTTTGTATTCGGGTTACCGCGGACTTTGAGGAAGTTTGATGCATTTTGGTTATTGTCGATAGGTTGACCAAGTCGGCACACTTCATTCTGGTTATGACTACGTATTCTTCAGAGAGATTGGCCCAGATTTACGTTCAGGAGATTGTTCGGTTGCATGGTGTGCCTGTTTCCATCATATCAGATAGAGGCCCTCAGTTTACTTCGCATTTTTGGAGGGCAATACAGAGTGAGTAAGGGACTCGGGTAGAGCTCAGCACAACCTTTCACCCGCAGACCGACGGGCAGTCGGAGCGGACGTTTCAAATCTTGGAGGATATGCTCAGAGCATGTGTGATTGACTTTGGAGGGCAGTGGGATCGATTCTTTCCTTTTGCCTAGTTTTCTTACAAAAACGGTTATCAATCCAGCATCGAGATGGCTCCATTTGAGGCTTTATATGGTCGGCAATATCGTTCGCCCATCGGATGGTTTGAGCCCGGTGAGGCTAAGTTATATGGTACTGATTTGGTGAAGTGCCTTGGAAAAGGGTAAAGTTGATTCAGGATCGACTTCGCACAGC